GCCCCGCAGCCCCTGCCAGCCCAGCCCCACTGGTGCCCCCCACTCCCGTCCTGCAGACTCCATCTCTGATTGGTTTCTGCTCACCTAGATCTGGATGGTGTGCCAGCACCCAAGTTGGAGCCCTTCTGCCCTACATTGGACCGGGTTGGACGGCTTCTGCCTCCACCTCCTTCGGGCGCCCCGCTGGCCCTTCCTGCCCCACCCCTGCCCTATGCAGGTGGGCAGCAGCTGCCCCCGGCCGAGCCTCCCCGCCTGTCCTCCAGTGTGCGGCTGAGCCTGGAGAACCGGGAGCTGTGGAAGCGTTTCTCTGCCGTGGGCACTGAGATGATCATCACTAAATCAGGGCGGTAAGAGTGGGCTGTGGTGTGGGGAGGGCCTGGGAGTCTGGGGGGGGGGTCTAAAGTGGGAGGGAGGGTCTGTGGCCGGGTTCCCTTGCGTGCCTGGTTGATGAGCAGAGGCCCCAGCCAGGTGCGTGTTTCTGCTGGTGGTGCACATCTAATCGCACTGTGGTGCACAGGGAACAATTTATTCCACACAGGGATGGAAAAGGGACATTTGTGTGTGTGGGGGGGCCTTGTCCCCATTGAACCCGAGCCCCTCAACCCTGTCTCCCCCCACAGGCGGATGTTCCCCCAGCTGAAGGTGTGGCGAAGTACCTGCTGCTGGTGGACATGGTTCCGGCCGGGGCTTCGCGCTACAAGTGGCAGGGGCAGCGCTGGGAGGCCAGTGGCAGGGCCGAGCTGCCTCAGGTGCCCACTGGATGCGCCAGCCCGTGTCTTTCCACCGTCTCAAGCTGACCAACAACACGCTGGACCCCCACGGCCACGTACGTGGGCAGGGTCGGGCAAAGAGAGTGTGGGAGGGGCTATGGTGCAGAGGGGAGGGGATTAAGAATGTGTGGGCGGAGCCTAGGGACCAGTGGGCGGGATTAGATGGCGAGGAGTGGGGACGGGGTGCAGGCTCTCAGGGGCGCATGTCTAACTCCCTTCTGTTCCCCAGCTCATCCTGCACTCCATGCATCGCTACCAGCCCCGTGTACACGTGGTGGGAGCGGGGGGGCCGGGAGGGCGTGGGGGAGGCTGTGCCTCCTTCACCTTCCCTGAGACAGCCTTCCTCACCGTCACAGCCTACCAGAGCCCCAAGGTGAGCCAGCCCCCAGCCCCCAGCCGCTGCCCTCACCCCTCGCGGCCCTTGCTCACCCCTCTGCCCTCATCCCCATCCAGATCACCCTCCAAGGGCTTCCGAGAGAACGGCATGAACAGCAAGAGGTGTGGGGCGCATGGAGGGGGCTGGGCTGCTAGGATGGGAGGGGTGAGGGTGAGGGCAGCAATCGGGGAACCCTGTGGGGATGTGAAGGGCTGGGGTTGCCCTGAGGGTGGCCAGCTCGGGAGAGGATTGCAGCCCCTTAACCCCCATCTTTCTCCCTGCCTCCCAGGGAGCGAGATGCCAGGATCAAGAGGAAGATGAGGGGCGATGTGGCTGCACCGGTGGGGGAGGAGGCTGGTATGGGACCCCCAGCATGCACCATCCACCAGCCCTTTCCCCCCACTGCCCTATGTCACATCCCCAGCCCCTGAGCCCAATCCCTTGCCCCAGGTCCCAACCCATCTCAGACTCCACACTCCCTCCTGCACTCCCCTGCCCCTCCACCCAGGGCCCCCCCCCAGAGCCACCAGTTCCCCCTGACTGCTCCTTCCACCCCACCTCTTCCTCTTACCCTCCTGGTGGGAGCGAGGAGCTGGCCTGCCCCCTTGGAGGACTGAACCCCAGTGCTGAGGCATACGTGCAGCATCCAGCTGCCTTCCACGGACTGCACCCCCCCCAAGGGCCCGCCGGCTATGCCAGGTGGGGCCTCTGATCTACACCTCTGGAGCGGGGGCGCCAGGGCACGAGTCTTCTGGTAGCACTTGGGAGGTGCAGAGCCCCTGTGCCCTGCCACCATTGGCCCTGCCCCCCCACCTGGACCAGGCACCCCTGTGGACGGGGCAGCAATTGTGTCGAAAATGCAGGTTCTGCAAAAATCTAAACTTCCAGCTGCAACTTTTCAGTTGTGACTCCCAAATGCTGCCTTGCCTGGGGCCAGCCAGGACTGCGAGGGGCCACTGCCTTTCCCTGGCTGGCACCTTGCCTTCTGGGTGCTGTAGTTCTCACCCTCTACGCGTGAGCTCCCTGGAGGACTGCAACTCCCACAATGCAATGCCAAGCAGAGTGGGGAATCATGGCAGATGAAGTGGTGTCAGCGACTTCAACTACACCTCCCATAATGCACCGAGTCCCAAGCCGCCAAGAAGCAGCATGAGTGCTCGCCAGGCACTTGCCCCATTGCACCTGGGAGTGGGAAGGGCCACCCAGCCAATGGCAGCACGGGGGTGGGTCCATTGGTTTCCTTCCCTTCCCATCCCCATTAATTGTAGTACTGCCCTCCCGCTGGGTCTGGTTGGCGGTCCCTACTCCCCCTGCTGGGCTCTTACCTCCCCCTCCCCTATGGCACTTGACGGGCTGTTCCGGTCCCCTCCCCCTGCTGGGCTCTTACCTCCCCCTCCCCTATGGCACTTGACGGGCTGTTCCGGTCCCCTCCCCCTGCTGGGCTCTTACCTCCCCCTCCCCTATGGCACTTGACGGGCTGTTCCGGTCCCCTCCCCCTGCTGGGCTCTTACCTCCCCCTCCCCTATGGCACTTGACGGGCTGTTCCGGTCCCCTCCCCCTGCTGGGCTCTTACCTCCCCCTCCCCTATGGCACTTGACGGGCTGTTCCGGTCCCCTCCCCCTGCTGGGCTCTTACCTCCCCCTCCCCTATGGCACTTGACGGGCTGTTCCGGTCCCCTCCCCCTGCTGGGCTCTTACCTCCCCCTCCCCTATGGCACTTGACGGGCTGTTCCGGTCCCCTCCCCCTGCTGGGCTCTTACCTCCCCCTCCCCTATGGCACTTGACGGGCTGTTCCGGTCCCCTCCCCCTGCTGGGCTCTTACCTCCCCCTCCCCTATGGCACTTGACGGGCTGTTCCGGTCCCCTCCCCCTGCTGGGCTCTTACCTCCCCCTCCCCTATGGCACTTGACGGGCTGTTCCGGTCCCCTCCCCCTGCTGGGCTCTTACCTCCCCCTCCCCTATGGCACTTGACGGGCTGTTCCGGTCCCCTCCCCCTGCTGGGCTCTTACCTCCCCCTCCCCTATGGCACTTGACGGGCTGTTCCGGTCCCCTCCCCCTGCTGGGCTCTTACCTCCCCCTCCCCTATGGCACTTGACGGGCTGTTCCGGTCCCCTCCCCCTGCTGGGCTCTTACCTCCCCCTCCCCTATGGCACTTGACGGGCTGTTCCGGTCCCCTCCCCCTGCTGGGCTCTTACCTCCCCCTCCCCTATGGCACTTGACGGGCTGTTCCGGTCCCCTCCCCCTGCTGGGCTCTTACCTCCCCCTCCCCTATGGCACTTGACGGGCTGTTCCGGTCCCCTCCCCCTGCTGGGCTCTTACCTCCCCCTCCCCTATGGCACTTGACGGGCTGTTCCGGTCCCCTCCCCCTGCTGGGCTCTTACCTCCCCCTCCCCTATGGCACTTGACGGGCTGTTCCGGTCCCCTCCCCCTGCTGGGCTCTTACCTCCCCCTCCCCTATGGCACTTGACGGGCTGTTCCGGTCCCCTCCCCCTGCTGGGCTCTTACCTCCCCCTCCCCTATGGCACTTGACGGGCTGTTCCGGTCCCCTCCCCCTGCTGGGCTCTTACCTCCCCCTCCCCTATGGCACTTGACGGGCTGTTCCGGTCCCCTCCCCCTGCTGGGCTCTTACCTCCCCCTCCCCTATGGCACTTGACGGGCTGTTCCGGTCCCCTCCCCCTGCTGGGCTCTTACCTCCCCCTCCCCTATGGCACTTGACGGGCTGTTCCGGTCCCCTCCCCCTGCTGGGCTCTTACCTCCCCCTCCCCTATGGCACTTGACGGGCTGTTCCGGTCCCCTCCCCCTGCTGGGCTCTTACCTCCCCCTCCCCTATGGCACTTGACGGGCTGTTCCGGTCCCCTCCCCCTGCTGGGCTCTTACCTCCCCCTCCCCTATGGCACTTGACGGGCTGTTCCGGTCCCCTCCCCCTGCTGGGCTCTTACCTCCCCCTCCCCTATGGCACTTGACGGGCTGTTCCGGTCCCCTCCCCCTGCTGGGCTCTTACCTCCCCCTCACCTCACCCCCTGCCAATAAGGCTGCTTTTTGGGGAACATGGGCAAACAAACATGGGGGTATTTTCTACCCTTCTAAAAACATCTGAGTCTGAGCAAGTCACCCACTCAATAAAGCAGCAAAGTGGCTTTGCGTGTGTCGAGTGCTCCCTGGCCTTGCCTGCATGACACCCACTGGTGCTCTCAGAGGGAACCGTCAGCTCTGAGTGTTGCTGCAGGCCGAGGGATGGTGCTGTCAGCCCTTGTCCTAAGCTAGAGAGAGAAACTGCCCCACAACTAGAGCAATAGTAGATATACTAGATGCCTTAATAGAGCCTAATTCACAAAGCTGCTCAGGGGGAAGAATTTAATCAGAAAAATGGGAATAATTGCGAGTCAGTTAAAGACACCTGCCTAGATGCTCCAAAAGCCACAGTAAGGAAGCAGCTTGTTTTGGTTAAAAAACAAAACCAAACCAACAACCTAGCTCAGAGATGCAGTAAAATCAGCTCTAACAATTACGTAACAGAAGAAAAGGGAAATTGATATTAATGAATGTAAATGAGAAGAAAGAAATTGCACAACATTGCTAAAAAAGTATCAGAGGGGGAGCCGTGTTAGTCTGAATCTGCAAAAGCGACGAGGAGTCCTGTGGCACCTTAGAGACTAACTGAAGTGTAGGAGCATAAGCTTTCATGGGCAAAGACCCACTTCATGCATCTGACGAAGTGGGTCTTTGCCCACGAAAGCTTATGCTCCTACACTTCAGTTAGTCTATAAGGTGCCACAGGACTCCTCGTCGCTATTGCTAAAAAAGGCCAAAGGGAACAAGGAGAAATCTATGGCCAGCGGCCTTAGAGACAAAAAAGATCCTGACAGTGGCCAATGCCCATTATTGTTGGAAATGGTAGAATCATCAGTAAAAAATATAAAAGGCAGAAGTGCTCAGGCATTTCAGTTCTGTGTTTGGGAGGAAAAACCAATGGAGTCCTCACCCCTGGTACCAATACACTTTCCATTCCACTAGCATCTGTGGAAGATGTTAAATAGAAGCTCCTAAAGTTTGAAAAAGATCTAACTGCTGCTCCAGATAATTTGCATTCAAGAGTTTTAAAAGAGCTGGCTGGACAGGCAGTGCAGCTTTTGTGTTACATCTCAGAGCACTGGGAGAGTTACAGACATCTGGAAGGAGGTTAACATAGTACACACGTTGGAAAAGGGGAAGGGGGATGATCTGGGACAGGGCTCCAAGTCCAGCTGACATGAATCCCAGCGGGATAATACAAATAGCTGCTCTAGGACTCAGAGTAAAGAACTAAGGGAGGGCAACAGACTTAAAGCAAATCAATATGGTCCTGTGGTCCATAGATCCTATCAACCTGGCCCCTGCAAGGCTGCAGCCTTAGGGCAGCAGCGTGCTGTGGGCAATGCAGCCTCCCCCAGCCCAGGAGGGAGGGGTCCCAGCCACAGTGTCTCAGCCTTGTGCTGGCTGCTCCCCCTGGAGAAGGCTGCAGCTACCCCAAACACTGGGGGGGGATGTCGTGCAGGAGGGGCAGAGCCGGCTGGGTAAAGAGGCAGCAGTGAACCCAGCAGGGCTCAGTCCAGCTCTCTGGGCACAAGGCAGGCTGCGGGCTCGGTCCTGGGAACCAGGGACTCTGAGCAAGGGGCTAGTTGGGAACAGGAGCTCCTGGCCTGAGGCTGCACAAAGGGGGATCTCTCAGCGGACTCTCTCGCTGGGTTGGCCCTGGGGCAGCGCTGCTGCGGCTTGGGGCTGCTGTTCCAGGAGGGTAGGGAGCAACTGGATGGTCACAGAAGAGCCAAGGGATGGCTGAAAGGATCAGAAAGCTGGCCTGACGCAAGAGCCACCAGGAGCTGGAGACAGACAGCCTGGGGGTGACGGGCACCGGCCTGGCAGGACCTCCGTGGGCAATGGATCTGCCAGGGGCTGACAGCTGGAAGCTGGACAGAGCCTACGGCCCAAGGGCGCAACCAGTGCTCAAGCAGAGCCACTCCTGCGGGGACGAGGCACCGGGCCAGGCGCATGCACCAGCTCTGACGCTGACTCGGCCCAGCATGGGTGTGTCTCAGATCTGCCCCAGGGCGTTTGGGAGTGCTCTCTGGCTGCTGCTACACAGAGCCTCAGGTCAGCTGTTCCAATGGGGCTGTGAAGCACAGCAGGCCTCAAGGGTGGATGCAGGCCTTACCCTGCAGTCTTGCACACGGACCTCTTTCCAGTTCTTTGTGCAGGGCAGCAGCCTCCGTAGGCCAGACAGGAAGATGCTGGCAGAGGTGGCTGAGGGCTCCCCTTGGCCCCGCTGAGGGTCGTCCCCCACCCTGAGAAGGGAAAGGACCCTGCTAGGACTCCAGGAGGCGCACTTCAAAGAGGTGCACCAGAGCCCAGAAGGAATCCCTCCCACCTGACCCATGGCTCCTGGAACTGATTGGCCACCTTTTCTCTGTAGGGGGCACTGGCTCCCGTCTGGCCCCAGGGCAGGGTATGGGCTGGGCAGGTGATTTGAGGGTCGTCCCCCACCCTGAGAAGGGAAAGGACCCTGCTAGGACTCCAGGAGGCGCACTTCAAAGAGGTGCACCAGAGCCCAGAAGGAATCCCTCCCACCTGACCCATGGCTCCTGGAACTGATTGGCCACCTTTTCTCTGTAGGGGGCACTGGCTCCCGTCTGGCCCCAGGGCAGGGTATGGGCTGGGCAGGTGATTAACACTTACCACAGTTTCGTTCTTTATACAAACGTAGCTTTATTTTTTTTCTGGTTTTTTTCCCATTTTTATTAGAATTTTTTTTTTTTTTAATCTAAAATGAACAAAAAAGGCAAATATTGGAAAAAGTCATTCAACCAAAGAAATACAAATGTAAAGAGACAGGTAAGAAGGGGACCGTGGGGGCCCCTCCCCAAAGAGAAAGGGGATGTCGGAATAGCCAGCCTACCCAAAGGGCCTGGTGAGGAAAGTGATCCCCCGGGGGAGAGGAAGCTGTGGGGAGACTCACAGGCCTGGGTCCCCTGCTGCCCCGACATGTGGGATCCCGTTTGGAAGGCAGAGGCCCTGCTGCAGCCAGGCCAGGACGCAGGCTGAAGGGGGAGGGGCCTTGCTATTAAATAAGAGCCTGGGACGGAAGCTGAAACCTGGAGAAAGATGCTGGAGATTTGGGGCAGGGAGGTAACAGTCACTTCATCCCAGAGCAGGGCTGCAGTCTGGCCACCCCACATTCAATCCCAAGGAATGGGCAGGATCCGTCCCCAGGTCTTCCAAAAGCCCCAGCAGGGAAAGCCAGGGGCTGCCTCAGGCCAGCTGGTGGGGGGGTCACAGGAAGTAGTCAGCAACAGGCTTCTTGGAGGGGATCCCTCGCGTTTCCTGGGGGGCAGCTTCAAAGATGATAAATTCCTTCTGCAGATGCTCATCGAGCTCCAGGATGGCAGCCACATTCCCGCACCTGGGGGAGGGAGGCCCCTTACTCCTGACCCACAGCCCTGCCCCCAATCTAATCACCTTTCAACTGTTAAAGTGGCAAAAGAGAGCAACCTCTATACAGAGGTACCAACATAGACCCTCCCCCCTCTCTCCTGCCCCCCAGCCCTGCCCCCCACCCCAGCCAGTGCCCCTTACTCCTGCCCCCCAGCACAGCCAGTGCCCCTTACTCCTGCCCCTAGGCCCTGTCTCCCCCAGCATCCCTCACTGCCCCCCGCCCGCATCCCTGCTGGTGCTCCTCACTCCTGAACTACAGGTCCTGCTAGCTCAGGCCCTCCCGACCCGCAGCCTGTGCCTCACCTCTGGCTGCTGGTGCCTCTTACTTCCTACCTGCCTGCCCCCGCCAGTGCCCCTCACGCTCTCACCTGTAGCAGTAGTTGGGGGCTGACCACACGGTGAGCACGGTCTCGTTGAAGTGCCACTTGTAACCCTCCATCACCAGCTGGTGGGCCCGGCAGATCATGTCGATGTCATTGGAGGCGTTGAACTGGGCCACCACGTCGCTGCCGAAGAGGTACCCAGCCCCCCGCGGGCTCACACCCCAGCCTGTTGTGTCTGAGGAGAGGCCAGTCCTGCTCAGCCCGTCGTGTGCTCCCCACACTGAACGACTGAATCTTTGCCAAAGAAATAATCCTCCCTGTAAGCCAGGACTAAGCCCGCCGACCCCCTTACCTTCTGGGTCAGACCAGAGCAGGTCACACATAGGGCCGTCATGCGGCACCTCCTGCTTGCGATCAATGGTGCGGATCTGATCCAGCGTCTGGATAGAGGGGGAGAGACCCCCATGGACACAGAAGATCTGCAGGAGAGAAGCAGAGGTTAGGACCCAGGAGGCCTGCCCCAGCCCTGCCCCGCGGCCACAAGAACGCACCTTCCCATCGATGATGGCCGAGAGGCTGAGGTAGTCAAAGATCTCGGTGCAGTAGCGCCACACGGTGACGGAGCCGTACTTGCGCAGGCACTCGTCATAGAAGCCGTACACCTGTGTGATCTGCCGGCTCTCGTGGTTGCCCCGGATTAACGTGATGCGGTCGGGGTAGCGCACCTAGGGGAGATGAGGGGTTATCTGGAACCAAGAGACAGGGATCCGGCTCCAGCCCCAGGGGAGTGTCTAGCGGGGGCTGGACAGTCCCAAGTCAGCAGAATGTGGCTAGCAGGGACCAGGGAGGGGTGTTCAAGCAAGGGGAAGCCGGTCCGATGGGCAATGGGAGAAGGGGTAGGGTGTGGGTGGGAAGCTGGCCGAGGGGGGGGGACCTCACCTTGAGTGCCAGGAGCAGCAGGAAGGTCTCCACACTGTAGAAACCACGATCCACGAAGTCACCCATGAAGAGGTAGTTGGTCTCTGGAACGTCGCCCCCGACCTGTGGGTGCAGGGGACGGGTGATGGCGAGGGGGCGCGCTGGGCTGCGGGGCAGCGCCGAGGTCTCTACTCACCCTGAACAGCTCCTTGAGGTCGTAGAACTGGCCGTGGATGTCGCCGCACACCTGGGGGGAGAGCTGCCGTGAGGGGCTGGGGGGCAAACCCCCCCC